TAGGTATTGGTACTTTCATAGTGACTTGACCCAGCTCTTCATCCCTAGAGGTCTTAATGTTCAGGGACTCTGATTGGTAGATTGGGTCGTTTACCTTGGGAATGTATCACTTTTGATTGATAAGATCAACAGACCTTCTCACGGGTAGTTATAAAAAGCTCACTGGACCATAAGTAACCTCGCAAAAAATTTGCTCCTTTAAATCATGCAAAAATCCAGACCAGAAATCACATGACGATACCTTTCTGTGACATACCAATGCTTCTGTATGTATAATTTTGGCAAAGCAATTTCATGTTGTCTGAGATGTCAGGTAATCCAGCCAAGGCGTTAAGTGCCAGTCAAAATCCTATCTGATACTATCCTCTTGCTTTCCATTGAGTAAGTATCAAAGATGATAGCTCCAAGAAATACTTCCACCAAGCGAGCTAAATGAATCTGAAGATGACCTGCTATGAAACCACAGCTGAAGCTTTGTGATACTAGAGTATTATATATAAACTGATTAGGTTGCAGTTCACTGTAATTTCCTATTGAGCTTTATTCTCTATAGAATAAGCCAGACATTGCTGTGAGCTCTAGTTGTACCTCTGTGCTGCAGAACCCTGCAGAATACTCTGTGCTACAGGACACTGTCTTGGTACCATTTATCCAATATTTATGCTGCACTTTACTTTGCCCAGAACTCAATTTTCAAAATATATTAAAAAGTGTCTTTTTTTTAAAGTAGTTTAGTTAACACTAGAGCGATGCCATTTGGGGTAGATAACGGGACAGGACTGTACCTGATCAGAGTTCTATGTTCCAAGCAATCTATAATGCATAAGCCCTGAAATTCTATACATTGTCCTCAGAGTAAGACACCCTTAGCACCAGCGATGGGAAAGCAGTGTGGAGGGCATTTCTTAATTGTTTCTGTGGTTTTCATTTTAGCTGCCTTACTTATTCTGGCTTAGGTGCTGTTTACCAAGCCCCTCCTTGAATCTTAACTCTTGGAAAAGCAGATGTTCTGAGGTGTGGTCCAGAGTCTCCAGATACTGGAACAGAGGATAATGTGGATTTGGTGTTTAATACTTGAGTGTAAAGTTTAATACTTGTGTAAAACATCCTTATTGTGGGAGTGAGCCTACAATCAGTTTTGAGACATGGCATCAAAATGAGGGGCCTAATTGGATTGTGTGTTGCTATAAGGCAGAAACTTGCTGAGAACTGGATGAAGCTCTGGCAGGGATGGTGACCTAAATGTGTACTGGGCAGAGAGCCTTAAATTGCAGCAACAAAACATGGAAGTTTGTTTTGCTTGGTGGGCGAACAGTCTTTGACTTCTTATCCAATGGAGTCCTTGTCTTGGAAGTGGACATCCTTAGAGTGGTTGCCATGACATACCAGTACTACACCAATGAATTAGATTCTGTACTGCATGATATCAGAATGAAACATTGTGGCCACCTTATGCATCAGAAGCATCTAGAACATTGTACACAACAGGGTCCACAAAAGATTCAATTGCACTAACATTTAAGGAGGAGGATAGATCCACCTTGCCTAGTGTACCTCTACTGAGTTCTGATAAGCTGCTTGAAGAATTCCTGACTACCAGCTGTCCTGAGCATTAGGGCATATTAATGTGTAGTTCCCTAGGTTTAAGCTAAAGGGAAATTATGTTAATCTGGTCATGTGGCCTGCTGGTATTGCATCCCAAATAAATTTTCCAACTTGATATCACTGAATTGTGCTGGATAAGTTGCAGAGTGCTAACAGAATAGCCACTTGCATGTGCAGAAGGATGCAGGGGTATGCCCTCAAGCTTTCTTCAATATTTTGCAAGTTCTTCTGCTATTTAACTAAAGCAAGCTATAATAAATGATGTGAGATTTATGACTAGATTAGAAGCCTTAAGTGTGTTGCAGAGTAGGCAACTATCAACCCACGGTATACTTTCATCTTAACTTGACAGCAAATGGATCAAGCTGACAGTCATTCTTAGAGTGGAAGCTATAAATGGTATGTTATTTGAGGATGATAGAGATTCACAAGGCTTAGGGCTGTTACACTAGGTTTTGTGTGACAGACATTGACCAGGTCCTCTAAAATTCATGTACAAGTTGCCAGGAAAATCTTAGCCTGCATTTGGGTCTAGCTTTCTGATTTCAATCTGCTACAGCATCTGATTTCCCAATCCACAAGGCATAGTAAAGGATGAGTGTACCACAGCAATAGATATGCAATGAAAATTTAGGAAGGTGATGAGAGATTGACAATTTTGTTTCTAGGAGTACTTCTGCAATCAACAGTTGAACTATGAAGATACCTAGAAAAGTTGGTCTCGCAAGGCAAAATCTAGAATTCCCATCAAGAAAATGGTAATGGATGCCCTATATGCACCTTAAGAATTTATCTGATAAAAGAAGTATAGACTAGAAAAGCAAATATGCTGTTTGTTGAAACAGTCTTGGGAATCAGCCTCACTTGGCATCGATACTGCACTTAAAAGCCAAGTATCTGGCACTTGTGAAACTTCTGTCCAAAAATTTGAATAGCATAGAGGTTCTAAGTGAACTGGAAGGAACATTGGTGTAACATAGGATTAGCTTCCTGCCATTGTTAATACATTTGCCCTAGCATGTCAGGAGGGTAAAGAGCATCCAACACAGGTAAGAATTCTGGTCTCCCTTGTCAGTCTAGGTTCCTCTGGCTCTTAGTATTCAGATGCTTAATGAACTTACTCCTGAGGCCTAGAGTAAGGGGAGCATGAACATAAAGCTTCAAGGAAGTGATGACTTCATCTTCATCCAGCAGAGAAATAGCTAGTGTACAGATGGTAACACAGCCAGAGGAGTCTAAGATGACTGGCCCTAAGCAAGAATGAGGTGATAACTTGGAAAATCGTAGACTTGGGAAAATGAGATCAGATATGCAAGGGCAGACCAACACCTCAGACATCGCCCCATACTGAGGTTACAATAACCTCCGTGATGCGGTCATTCAGGAAATAGAGCTTGTTGCCAGCTTTGGCACGTGTGGTTATTTTCCATCTGAATGGATTCACGTGGGATGTTCGGCATGTGCAACTGAAGTTTTCAGCTGAGTGCTACAGTTTGGAATATATGATCCTGAATATGCTGATGAAATGTTTAAAGACTGGAGAGGGGTGGGGTTGAAAAGAAAGGCGTTTGAGGGAAACTGAAAAGGAAGTTGGCATCTGTAACAGCAATTGGGCCCAGAAACTTGAATCTGGCCCTGTGGAAGATAAAAGGTCTTGGGTAGACAGAGGTCCAGGCTGAAGTGCAATTGTTGTATGGTCAAATCAGGCAGATGGCGTGTGAAGAACCCCCATCACCCATTATAGGCATCTTAAATGTCTTAAATGGGATTTGCTTCACCTCAATATCACACTTGGGTATCTGCTGGAAATGGAGCAAGGAAACTGGCCAGTAATGATCAATCCTAAGCACTTGTGAGGAACTTGAAGTTCTGTGCTCAAGGTAGACAAAGTGATGTTTTGCTTAAATGTTTGAGCTCATCCCTGTGGGAGATACTTTGAACGCCAGAATTGACAAGGCATGTGAGTTCACCAGACAGCACCGTTATTGGATGGTCTGATTCCCTTAGGCATTGGGTGGTCCTGAGTGTCTCCTCTCCACACAGTTGTCTAGAGCATGTAAGCTGACACTGAGCCCAGAGCTTTGGACAGAGACGGCAGCACCAAGTCATAAGAAATTTCCATCTTGAGCAATGTTGGCCTATTTGAGGCCTCCATGGAAATGGCAGTTTTGATGACTTTGGGAAAAACTTAATAGTGACTAAATACAGTCTTAAAAATATGGGGGTGTATATCTCTGGTTGTAGGCAGTGTTGGGAAGAAAATAAAGAATATTACCTGAAACCAGCTGACCCAAAAGCAAGGTTTTAGCAGAAGACCACAATGGATGGGCAGAAGGGGGCAATAGACTATCGGCTCCTGTTGTCAGAGAGTCTACACTGACAAGTGAATTAAATGTAAAGTATTTGTGAAATTCCTGTGCTTGAATATCATGGTAACTTTCCCAAAAACACGTTTGTAGAGGGAGAGAAAACCACTTTACTCTAGCTCCTCAAAAAGCAGATATGGAGACTGTGGTTGCAGCTTTTCCATGGTGGATTGGTTCTGGTTGGTGTTTGTGACTGTCACATGGTGTGATCTAATATAGCTTCTTTGCACCAAGAAAAATCTAGCCAGTTGGCTGTAGCCTACCTGCCTAAGAGTACTGACCATAACCACAAGGTTTTCCTCCTTGCATGAACACTGTCACACAGAATTAAGGCCATCAGGTGAGTTGCATCTGTCATAGTATTCCTGGGCTGTGTCTGTCCAGAGTGGACCCTTGGACATGCCAGTGGCTTGTACAGCTAAACGAAGCTAAAACCCATTCCTTTGAGACTTTAGACTTCATCATGTGGCTGTCACAGCTTAACTTGCTGTGCTTCACACCTTGCTTAGGCCCTGTGTGCCATTCAGTTTGTGATCATGTATTTAGTAGGTGCATCATTTAACCTTTTGCATCCCTTTAAGATACAATGTGAGGAAACATACTTAGGCACTGCTAAGTAATGTTTTACTTGAAAATATCTGTTCCTGGCCTTGATAATTGCCCTTTCTGTATTCGTGATGTTTTTGAATAATATCAGGCCTCAGCCTATGAGCTTATTTTTCTCATCAACTTGCTTCAGTCTTAAATTTTTCTACCTTGTTTCATCAAATATCATGCTGAGAGAATGCTATATAGAAGTTATTAAAATGAAATGCCATTTACTTTGCCCTAGCAACTCCTTTTTTCAAGGAAACCATTTCCGTTGATTGTACACATGATCCTTCTGACAGAATCAATGTACACAGTACTTCACCAAAAATAGTTCAACATGAAGTAAAGATTTGCTGCACAACATGTAGCGGCCCGTGTTCCAGCGTAGACTTCAGAAATACTTCATGGTGAGAGAGTGGCGCAAACGCGTGGCTCTGCATGAAGGCTGTCCTGAAGGCTGTGCAGACAGTGCACCCCTTCCATGCCACAGGCAAGACCCCCACAATGTGGGCTGAGTTTGACAAATTTTATGAAGACAACAGGCAGCTGGACGATGCCCGTGTCATCCTGGTGAAGGCCATGAAGGTGAACTTCAAGCAGATGGACTACCTGGCAAGCGTGGGGTGCCAGTGTGGGGTGCTGGGGCTGTGGCACGAGAACTAAGAGGAGGCACTGTGGTTTCTAAGGAAGGCCATGGCACTGCCTGCCTGCCCGGCTGACTACTTCAACAGCTCAGAGCCCTTGCAGACACGTGTGTACAAGTCCCTAATCTGTGGCCTATGTTTGCCAACCTGGAGGAGAGCCTTGGCACCACACAGTCCACCAAGGTGGCATATGACTGCATTCTGGACCTGAGAATTGCCATGCCCCTCACCGTTATCCACTATGCCATATGACTGGAGCCACGCAAGTATTTCGAAGACAGCTTCAAGGTCTATGAGTGTGGCATCTTGCTGTTTGAGTGGCCCAACGTGTCTGACATCTGGAGTCCTACCTGGCCAAGGCCATCGCTTGCTTTGGGGGCAGTAACCTGGAGCTGGCCCAGGGCCTCTTTGAACAGGCACTGGATGGCTGCCCTCCCAAATGCTGCAAGACCCTGGACCTGCTATATGCACAGCTGAAGGAGGAGTGGTGCATGGCCCGGCACACCATGGCTGTGTATGAGTGTGCCACCCTTACTGTGGAACCTGCACAGCAGTACAACATATTCCACCTCTACATCCAAAGGGAGGCCAAGCTCTACAGGGTCACGCATACCTGCAGCATCTACCAGAAGACCATCACGGTGCTGTCAGACGAGCATGCCCAGGAGATGTGCCTGCAGTTTGTGGAGATGGAGTGCAAGATTGGGCAGATAGACTGGGCCCGCGCCATCTACAACTTCTGCTCACAGATCTGTGACCCAAGTACAACCAGTGCTTTCTGAACAACATGGAAGGAGTTCAAGGCATGTCACAACAACGAGGACACAATCCACGAGATGCTGTGGGTCCGTCGCAGTGTTCAGGTCAGCTACAACATGCAGGTCAACGTCATGGCCTCCCACATGCTCAAGGTATCAGGCAGTGCTACTGGCGAGGTGTCTGACCTGGCCCTGGGGCAGAATGGCATGGACTACATGGGGCTGCTGGAACAGAGAGCCAAGCAGCTGGTGACCCAGGCTGAGCAAGACCAGCCCCCAAGAGCCCAGAGCAAGATCTTGTTTGTGAGGAGCTATGGTGACTATGAGGAGTTGGTCGAGATGGGCAAGCAGGGCAACCCTGAGGAGATCCAGCTAGGTGAAGATGAAGAGATGGACCTGGAGCCCAGTGAGGTGCCGCTGCAGCAGCAGAGTGTCCCAGTGGCCATGTTCAGGAGGCTGAAGGAAAACTACACCACAAATCTGCGTCGGAGCCAGCAGAGCTGGTTCAAGTACTTGGGTCCCTACTGCCTGGATGGAGTTCCAGTTCCACATTCAACCCAGGCCAGACCTGCCACTTGTGGGCACTTGTGCACTGAATCAGTAGGTGGGGGCGCCCTCCCATCCCTTTCTCTGAAATGAGCCAATGAGTGCTTGTATGAATAAAATAACCTTTTCCAGTGTCACATAGTGACAAACATGCTTACCTTGGATTCAGTTTCTTGGCAGTATTTCTATCTCCAAAATGGGCAGGGCACGGGGCTTGGGTGGAGAGAGCTTCCAGCTGCATGGCAGCTGCTGGAAGTACCAGGTTGGACTTAATGCTTGGGGCACTGGCCATGGCCACTGCTGACATGGCAGTGAGCCAGTCCTGGCCTTTAGGTGGTCTGCACACCAAGTGGCACCAGGGTTGAACTAGGCTTCAATGCCCATTGACATGTGAGAAACTCGATGGGATGTGGGACACACTGGACAAGTCTGCTGTAGGTACTGGCAAGCACGGGAACCAGGGCAGAGGGTTCTGGCTTGGCGGGGGTTATTGCACATTGCTCTGACTAGGCTGTAGCTCCCACTGGTTTGTGTGAAGGCCAAACGTGTGGTGGCCAGGATCAGGCTGGGCACCAAAATCCATTGGTTTGTGTAGAAGGCAGGGCTGGAAATGGAACTGACCCAGCAATTCCAACCAGCAGCATATGTAGCAGCTGACTGGGACAACGATCTGTGCCAGACCCCATACTGGCAAGCACACATAAGAATCTGGTCTGGAATCATCTCAGACAAAGTTTCTCTGGGGTTCACCCCACTCAAACTGAACTTAGAACCATGACCAGGAAGAGATTTGCACATTCCATGGTCTGACTATGGAGTTCATGTGTCCAAGCTGAGGCTCTTCAGTGGCTCAGATGGAGAAGTGGACAGCATGTCCAGGTGCTCATGAAGGATATGGTAGTACATTGGAGCCTACTTAGAATACCTGGTGCCAGAACAGAGGATAGAACTGGATCAATTACCCTAGCCAAGTGTTGGCAGTGAAAATCTGGGCAAGTGGAGGTGCTAAGGTGGACTCTGCCTGCCAGTGAATTCTTTTTTTTTTTTTAAAGACAATTATATTATGTAAAACAGTAGGAGACCTATTCGAAGAAAACTACAAACTACCCAAAAAGAAATTGAACAAGACCTCAAAAGATGGAATAACATCCCGTGCTCCTGGATAGGTAAAATCAGTATCATTATAATGTCTATACTACCAAAAGCAATATATATTTTCAACGCAATTCCAATCAAGTTGCCCAAAACATCCTTCACAGAACTGGACACAATGATTCAAAAGTTCATCTGGAAACACAAAAAACCACGGATAGCTAGAAACATCCTAAAGAACAAGAAGTTAGCAGGGGGAATCACAGTTCCGGATCTCTGGAAATACTATAGAGCAGTGGTTATCAAAACAGCCTGGTACTGGCACAAAGATTGAGAGGAGATCAATGGAACAGAATAGAAACACCACAAGGGAACCCACACAAATACAGCCAAATAATCTTTGACAAAATAACCAACGACAGTCCAAGCAAATGGGAAGGCCTCTTCAGTAAATATTGTTGGGACAACTGGCTGATTGCCTGCAGAAACAAAAAGATAGACCCGCATCTATCGCCATACACTAAAATCCAATCTAAATGGATAAAAGACCTAAACCTACATCCAGAAACCTTCAAACTCATGGAAGAAAATGTAGGAAATACCCTGCAAGACCTAGGAGTAGGTCCTGACTTTCTAAGAAGGACACCAAAAGCAATAGCAGTTGAGAACAGAATAAACAAATGGGACCTCATCAAACTAAGAAGCTTCTGTACAGCAAGGGAAACAATTAGCAAAGTAAAAAAAAAAAAAAAAAAAACGGGCAGGACCAGTCAGGATCCCTTCTTGCCTTACCAGCAGGTACTGTATGCACACTGCAAAGCAGGACACAAAGTAGCATTTCTGTCGTTTCATTATGTTGACTTAAGTAGCATTTCTGTGGTTTCATTATGTTGACTTAAGTGCTGTCAGAAAACCAACCCCAGAGGCTGGCCATGTTTTTCCCAAAGTTACACGAGCATTTCCCTTTAAGCTGATGGCATCATCTTGTTAGAGGCCACACCAAGGTGGCAGTTCTGTTTCTGAGGGACCCAAGGGCCTGCAGCCAGAGCACACAGAGGACAATGGAAAGGGCCAAAAAAGAATTAGGAGACTTCTGCCATTTTAATATTCCTTGGAAGTTTAGTTTTTGCTAGAAAAGGTAGCTTCCTCATCTTTCTGATGGTGACAAGAGGGACTTAAAGGGCGCTTTGAGACCCCTTCCAGTCAGTCACTGGGACTTGGAAGTGGCCAGAATCACCAGGAATCACTGACCATTCTAGAAAGTGGAATCACCCCACGCCACCTGCCGGTGACTCAGCTGCTCTGCACCTGGGTGTGCACCATCTACCCACCTTAGTGAGCCCAGGCTGAGCTCCCATGGGAGTCAGCATTCATTACCTAATCTCTCCACATTGTACTTAGAAAACCAAATATCCTCTTTCATTAATACTAGGACAGTACTGGGTAGTCAAAGGGAGCATGAATGAGATTTGTACAAATGGTACAAACCTCACCACAAATGGTGCTGTTGATAAGTAGGGGAAACATAGCATTGAAGTCTTGAACCCAGTTGAGATTAACTGTGGCTCAGCGAATCCTGTCACCTCAATTTACACCCACATCACAGTGGGTGTTTTTAGACTCTCATTGACTTCAGTGAAAATCGTGTCAGTATATGACATTTTCGTGAATGTGGGGAGTTGTTTTTATGTTAAATGGGCTTCAATGCCCATTGACATGTACGAGAGCTAAATGGGATGTGGGACAGACCAGCAAGCTTTGGAACCAGGGTAGGGGAAGGCCTGGTGGGGATTATGGGGAGTTGTCCCAACTAGGTTTGCGTGAGGACCAAGTATGAAGTGGGTAGGATCAAGCTGGACTACAACACCTGTTGGTTCACGAGGAAGGCAGGGCTGGAAACAACAGACCCAGCAATAGCAACGACCAGCATGTGCAAAACCTGATCGGTGCAATGGACGGTGTTGGACCCTGTACTAGCAAACTCACACAAGAATCAGGTCTGGTATCATCTCAGATGAAATTTCTTTGGAGATCCCTCCAACTGAATTGCTGATCTCAGAACCCCAACCATGAAGAGACTATGTCAGCCAGTGGACTCTGAATAGGTTTCATCACGATTGGAATGGAGAGATTGCCAGCAATCCAGAACTGTTGAACTATCAAAACTGCTTGAGCAGGACCCTCAGAGCATGCCCCACATTGGGGACCTGGCATGGGTGGGAGGGTGGGTGGGGCTTTTCCCTTTGTTTCTCCGCTGACCCCAGATACAGGGAAAAATGATAATATTAGTGTAGAAACAATGGTATTACCCACTTTCACCCTGTAGCCCTTGACCATTGTGACTAAGTAAGATTATTAAACAATAATTTTAAAATATTTTCCTGGATACTTCCAAAAGAGAATTATTTTAAACATTTTAAATCATTCTTATTTGAGATGGAGGCAGATATACAGAGAGAGGCGAGAAAGAGAGGGGGCCGGGGTCCCTCCACGTGCTGGTATCCTCTCCAGATGGCGGTAAGGTCAGAGCTGAGCCAATCAGAAGTCAGGAGCCAGGAACCACTTTCAGTTGTCCCTTGTGGTGCCCATGTAGGATGCTGGCACTGCAGGCTAAGGATTGGCTTGATAAGCCACCGCGTGAGCCCTAAGATGAAATTCTTTCAAGCTGCTTCTAGAAAGGGAGTCTGTACATTGTAACTGATGACAACACATACTGTGAAATCCAGTGCCAGGCAAAAGGTGAAGCAAAATAAAGCATTCTGTCTCTCTGGGCACTGTAATTGTTTCTCAGGGACACCTGTCACACTCCGTCAGTAGGGAGTGACCGCTGGACCTGAATAATTTCCTTTGTGGAAAGCAAGCAAGTCTGTGTGGTCATTTTCACTTTACAGGAGATGGGAGGCAGACCATTTAGACCATGCAAATAAAGCAAATGGAAGGACACAGACCTGGGGCGCAGGAATGGGGCTGGGTTATTCAGCACACTGTGGAGATGAGGTCTATCAGGCTGTGAAATAGTAAATGAGGCAGAGGAATCCAGACCACTGCTGAGATGAAATTGATCAGGATGTCACCCGAACTTACCTGGTGTCTTCGTGTCCCTGTCTGTGACAGCAGTTCTCGGGGTTGAAGTCAGTCAGCTCGGCCCAGAGTTCACCAGGTGTGATGCAGTGGTGGTCTTTGTTCAAGGAATCACCAGAGACAGGCTGGTCAGGAATCTCCCGTACAGTCATCACAAGTTCAAGGTTTATAAAGGCTTTCGGAAAGGGAGGGTAGCAGGGTGGTTTCAGATAATCCCTTCACACAGTCATGACACTGATTGGCTAAAAGGCACGCCTACTCCTGTTGACCTTCCAATCATGTCAGAGGTCACGTTTCATATTCAGGGTTGGAAGTTAAGCCTTAGGGGAGATAAACTCCAGGTCCTGCCTACCAGCTAGCAGGCAGAGAGGCCTGGGGTGTTTCCCCACAGCTGCGCTAACCCTCACTCCACTCTCAGGAGTGTAGACTGCTTTTCTCCCCACACCCACGCTAAGCTGAGTTAGTGCATTTGGAGTGGGATCACATTCTGTCTGTATATGACATGTTGTAACACGGACATTTCAGTGTTGATTCTACTGATCCTGGAACATGGTACATTTCTCCATCTTTTAGTGTGTCTTTAAATGTTGAATAATGATTGGGTCTTCCACACCCTTGTTTGGGTTTTATTCCAATGTATTTAAGGTGGTTCTCCCTGTCTTAAATGGGAATGATCACAGAGCGGCCCACTCTTTCCTCGGGCCTTGATTTTTATTGCGAAGTCTGGATTTGTTGTTTTAAAAATATTTATTTTAGTTGCAATCA